TAGTGAGCATTTGCACATTTACACCGCAGGTTTTAACTATACCGCTCTGCATTCCTTTTGCACTAGTTCAGAGATAGTTCTTATATATGTAGTTCGGAACTAGCGCTTTGTCAGACTGTCCCTACATTCTACTGCAGGGTACCTACTATGTCATTGTTGGCGTTATTGAATATGCTGTTGTTGGCATTAGAAACCAGCTTGTATGCTCATGCATATGTAGGTATGTGTGTACATAAAGGCTTATCAGGGAAAAAAATTTAGCGTGTCAGTTTTATTTGAATTTTTATGTCGAGAAAAAATCTTGGGTGGAAAAATTTTTTATGCACCCGCTAAAAACCGCTAAATCGGGGTTTTTTCTATAACTTTATTATTTGCTATCCGATTTTTATCCGAAAAGGAATCGCTGAGGACTATAATTGAATAAAGCCTAACCCTTTTTATCAAAGGTCTCATCGTTTTTTTGAGAGCTTTAGATTTATACTATAAAAATAAAAATCTAGGGATAGTAATTCTAAAATTAGGCTCAAACTGTTTAAAAGCCAAATATAGTCCTGATAAAGACTTTTTCAGCGCCATAAAGATTTTGAAAATCGGATATAAAATAAGAAAGTTATAGCAAAAAACGCGATTTGGCAGTTTTTAGTGGGGCCTAAAAGAAGTTACAGCCAAAATTTTCTCTCGACATACGTAAGTGTTTAAATAAAACTGACACACGCTAAACTTTTTTTATTTCATATGTCGTGATACTGCTTAATGTACATAGCTAACTTTTACATATCCAATTTGCAAAGCCACATTAGTCAATGTTGACTTGCATGTACAATTAGCTGCACAAGTTGAATACGATTTTCTAGCAGCAACGGTAGCCAAGTGGAAACGAAAATCTATTAAATGCTATGCAAAAATAAACATTGCAATATCAACAACAAGAACAGTCGATTGCAAAATATGCGCACACACCCAGCAAATATGTATCACAATGCCAAGCGGCCACCTGGTTTTGACTCGGTTGCCGACCGGCCGGCCGGCCGGTTTGGTTGAGCAATCTACAACGATCGCAACATATCCACTCAACACTGCACAGTGGTCTAAGAATGGCAGAAAATCCAAGATTCTAAATGTCTCGAAATGTGCCACTAAGCGGTTGATAAGACTATAGACTAGGGATGCAAGTCAAAAAAATATATCGATGTTTTTTTCGATTTGAGCATCAAAATATGGAATCGATGTATCGTATAAAAAAACATCGATATATTCGATGCATTGAATGAAAATATCAACAGTTTCTTTCAATTAAAAATATACAACAAACAAATGTAACAATCGGAACTTCGATAAATGTTCAAGTATTAACTCACAGTAAAATGTATTTATTGATTTAAATAGTATCCAGTTTTTTCTGTTCTTTTGAGAAGCCTTCCAAAAAAAGTTTTCGGAAGGTACTGAAGTGACGGCAATTGTTAAATGTTTATAAGCATAGTGAAATGATATAAAGTGTGCCAGATGGTCAGTTTTATTACCATAATTTTTTCTTTGATTTTACTTTCATGTTAACCCTTTTGAATGAGAACCTACATACACTGCCGGCAAAAAATATTGGCACAGCAAATTTTTCACAATACTATATGCAAATTTTTTATTTTAATATTTTTTCATTTTTATAAAAATATGGGTCATTCTACAACAAAAATCATAAAGATATGATTCGTAAGCTTTGTGCAAAACTCGCGAAAAATCAGCAAATTTTCATGCAAATTTTCAACTTTTTAAATAGATGCAGTTTTGCAGCCCATTAAATTCTAATAATCGCATTGACTTTTGGCATTTTTTTTTTTGGTGAAGGTGTTTTGCATTTTTTTCCGTATAAGTATTTTCGAGAAAATGTTTTCATATGGAAGAGACTGCGTGAAAAAAATTGCCAAATATCAACGGTAATTCCTAACTACTTAAGACTTGTACTTTATTACAATAAAATTGATTGGGCTACAAATATGCATACTCAAAAAAATTATAAAACATCTGATTAAAAAGATGAAAATTTGCGTGAAAATTTGCGTCAAAATTTGCTGAATTTTCGTGAGGTTTGGCCAAAGTTTAGGGATTATATTTTCATGTTTTCTGTTGAACCATATTTTAATAAAAAAAAAAATATTAGAACAAAATTTGTTGCATATATTGTGAAAGTTTACTGTGCCAATACTTTTTGCTAGCAGTGTATGTATGAAGTTTTTTGGTTTGAGTAAAAATTAAAAATAAAACATGTCAAAAAATTCTTGTCGCTTCTGCAAAAGCACACATGACGTTGCGGCACTGATGTTTTCATGCACTTGATAGTAGTTGGTTGAATAAGGAAAATGAATTAGCAACAAGAGTTTACGGGATGTACATAGCTCAGTGGTTAACGCTTCTGACTTTGAACATCGAATTCGCAGGTTCGATCCCTGCTGAAGTCTAGAAAAAAAAAGTCTGATGAGGAGATGTGGTGATCTCCGAAATAGTGCTATAACTTCTACCGCTTAGACTTTGTTGCTTTTTCAATTTTTCCTAATAAACAATCGTGGTACAAAGCTCAATAAAAATATTAAAAATAAAATGTTAATAAGCCACAATAACATTGACAAATACATAGTTTAGGAGGAACCAATTTTTGCTTTAAGCTGAATAACGGCAAATTGCAAATATCTCGAAAACGTATGCATAGAAAAAAAATTAACCCGAATTTCGGAATCACCGAGCAATTATACATATAAATTGAGTAGTGGAGTCTGGAGAACAAAAACCCAATTTAAAATTTGTGATCCAGGGCAGTTCTTAAAAAACTCGATTTTTTTTGGAACATGTTTCTTTATAGAGAATTAAACAAGGATTGCGATGGTGTAATTTTAAACCCCAAATTTACTGGTCTTTACTATGCAAGTCAACTTAAAAAAGTTCAACTGTTAATAGCTTAGTTAACTTCAGGACAATCATAACCATCATATAGAAAGCCGTTTCATTATCTTCAAACCGACGTCTGAAGTCTTTTCGATAAGTAGAGCCCGAGGTACAACGATTTGATATTCATTACTTTTCAACAAGTTCAATCGAAAAAAAGCATCTATATTGTTTGAGAAGCTCTCCTACCATGAAATAAATAAATGGGTTTGAAACCAATTTTTTTGTATTTAAATTATTTTGAAGGCCTTTGTAATTACAAACATATGATTAGTTTCGAATATTGTTAACAAAATTTAATGCAATGTTGAATAGAAATATGGGTAACAAATTCAATAGTAAATTTCTTTAGAATTTAAAAAATTAAAATTTTTTGGATTCAAAAGGACGAATAGGTAATTTTTAAGCTGACAAAGTTAGAAAAAAGAGACTCGAGGATGTTATCGAGTTTAAATAAGCCCTAACAAATTTTTTTTCAAAAACAAATATTGCGAAATTTCAAGATACAAAAATTACATTAAAAACTTCCACCTGTTTAAATTCTACAGGATTTCATTATTAATTCTATACCCATACTTCATCTCTAAGCATATTTCTATGAATTTTTTAAATCATTTTTGAGTTGCTGACGTCAGAGTTTAAAACTAAAAACGCAATTTTACTATATTTGACCCATGGTTTCGCGAATATATTGATATTTGTGTTTAAAATTTACTATCGCTCAGTGTTATATGTATGTATAATGAGCTAGACTTTTATAAAAATATATTAATTATTAAATAAAAAGAAAAGTATAGCCAATACTGGTCAAGAAGAGGAGTTTCTATTATTGCCATCAGTGCAAATTACAAATCCCGAAAGTCCCGGGACTACTTGCCAAGAATCCCGGGATTTTCGAGACCTTAAAAAGTCCGGGATCCCGGGATTAACATTCCTAATGTAGGTGTCAAGATGATCTCTTTATTTTTTACTTTTTGTAAAAATGACTCCGACTGCAATATGAATGTTTTTTAAACTGATATAAAATAAAGACATTTATATTTCTTTGCTTAAAAACCCAAATTGATTTTTATTTCTGGTATTCGCACTAAAGAAATAATACAAAACTAGTTTGTTAGCATATTAATTAATTGTAGCAATATCCCGGAATCCAGGGCTACCAATTTAAAACCCCGAAATCCCGGGATTAAACAAAATGGTCCGGGATTGAATGCCTTAGTACATATAGACTTATCGTATCTGTTCGCGCTGTTGGCAATGGTGACGTCAGGAATGAAAAACATGTGCGGACGATCAGCCGGCCGTCCGCAGTCATAGACACTCAACACCCCAGTGCATATTTATACATATTAAAATTTGTATTATTTACGGTTTGAGGCGCCTTCCAAAATTTTTCCTCTTGCCGAAAGAGGTGCTGGTACCAAACTTTACGTTCCTACACTGAAAATAAAATTTCGTAAAACTGCTATGAAAATCTTTCGTAGTTTTGGTTTTTGTACAATGTACGAAACTTTCGTTCATAATACGAACACATTTTTCACAACGAAACAAGATTTTACGAACCATACGTAAATATAACGAAAGGACTTTCGTAACGCATTTTTTCAGTACAATTTACGAAATCTTACGTTTATTTTACGAAACACTTTCGTAAAGCACTGAACAAATCTCTGTACGAATAATTTTGTATATTGTAGGAAGGTATTCGTAATATGGTTTTAACATTTACGAAATCTACATCTCTATATTCGTACAATTTAGTTAATACTTTCGTATAAAGAACTAATGCAGAAACATGTTTCGTAGAATATACTCAATTGCCGGCAGTTTAATATTTCATCATATTTTTATGTATCGCGTGTCATTGCGGAATTACTTGTTGGCTGCTGTGAGACATATGTATAATATAATTTTAAACGTTTTAAAAAGGGGTTTGCTGGATAAAAAAACAATACAACTGGGACTTGATAAATAGGCAATTTCATCAGTTACCTATCAACGGCAAGCCTAAGCCAGGAGCACTACTTAATGAAATTAAAAGTAAGTAGTACATATATGACTTTTCACTGAAACTTGCTTTTCAGACGCCTTATAATTTTCCTTTAATTTATAGTCGTCAAGGAAACAAACATCAATGAACCTGCGAATCTGTCAAGTGCCTTTAAGAAAGTAATATTCTTTCATATTTTATATCTTATTATATTTCGTTTTGTTGAATCTCATAGTTTAACACTTGCATCAATATATTTTATTGAATGAAGCCGAAGCAATAAAAAATATGTAGTATGGAACATATTCGTATGCATATAAATAAAATACTTAAGTTTTATTATAGGTAAAACAACCTTTTTATAAATTCTAAACAACAACAACAACAACAAGCGCAGATTTCGTTAAATATACGAATTATTTCTGTGCATTTTACAAAAATGTTGTAAAAAATAAAGAAATAGTAGGCATTTTTTTAGTAAATAGTACGAAATTCGTTAGTAAATAGTACGAAATTCTTTAGTAAATAGTACTAAATTCTTTAGTAAATAGTACGAATAAACTGGTGGCAATTCCCATAAACTCATTCGTAACTAAAATAAAAGTAGCGACGCTACTGTTTAAAAACTTCTTAGAATGAAAAATGCGCATTTACTTTTGCCGCTGAAGGATAGCGGTAAACGATGATTGGTGTACCGTTACACAAATATTTTTGTTTTGAGTGATCAGCGCATAGTTGCCAACTTGGTGCTTTAAGCACTAGATTTAGTGCTTTTTGAAAATTAAAACGCCAAAAAAAGTTATTTAGTGCTTAGTGCCTTTCTTAGTGCTTTTTATCTGAACTAAAATTACTCCGAGATAGTACAAACCTGAAATATTTAAAGCTGTGGCAGCACTGAATTTACCAAAATCTACAAATTTAAATGCACTAAAATACAACCGTTATTGATAAAAAGCTGAAGTTGCAAACCCACCTTGTTGAATTCCATTCGCGTTGAAAATGCTAGTACGCAGGTAAGTTAAGTATTTCTTTTTTTCATTTCTAATTATTTGTACAAATTTTGATTTTTTGTTAACTCCTGAGTAAAACACATCGTTTCTGGGTGCTGAATCCAAATCTGGCCGCACAATTGCTCTAGCACTACAATTTTTAGATATCCTAACCTCAAAGAGCCAAAAACACGGTTTTGGCGATATTTGAGGTTAAATAATGAAAACATCAAATTTTTTGCTCATTTCTACTTAGGGCATCATTTTCGTTTGTTGCGATTCGTTTTCTTTTTCTCGAGATATACCAGCTTTAATGGGCAGTACTTCGATACGGCGTCATAAGCATGAGTCATCATAGCATGTCTAGAGGCTATTCAATCGTTATGAGCGAAAAAGTTTTGTGTATTGATTTATGTATGTAAATATTGTTAATTTTTTGCTTTTGTTAAATACAAACCGTTATGAAAAAAGCAGCCTTTGATTCAAAAAAATTTGGTGCTTTTAGTGTGGTAAAACGCTTTTTTCACAAGTTTTTGGTGCTTTTTGAAAATCAAAAGTTGGCAACACTGGATCAGCGTATTCATTCAGTTGAACTTGCGCTTTGGTAGTGTATGGATGTGGCAGTTCACATAGATTCACCTAAAAAATTTTGATTGTTGTTTGGAATTTTTAGAAAAGAAAAGGTAAATTAAAATTGTTGTAGTGATGTTCTTCTAATGTGTAACGATGAATGGATTTTTTCTTAGATCTGTGTAAATGCCACGAGGAAAATTATTGACTCCGGAGGAAAAAAGACAAATTAAGGCTTTTAATGAATTAGGGCTTTCAACTAGAGAAATCGCCAATAAACTGGGAAGATCTCAGACCTTGATCTGTCATTTCTTAAAATTGCGCGAGTCCTATAGTAAAAACACGAGATACGACAGAAACACAAAAATAAGTCCAAGGGAAAAAAGAGAGATAATTAGATTGGCTACTAAAGAAAAACTTATGTCGACAGAAATTGTGCGAAAACTTAATTTGCCAATAAAGAGTAGACGTGTCCGACAAATATTACAGTCATCTGACCACGTGGTCTTTACAAAACGTCTTAAGAAACCCTCATTAACTGACGCTCATAAAGCCAAACGACTGCAATTCGCGGAAGAGCATATTCAGTGGCGCGAAGAGTGGTCAAAAGTCCTATTCAGCGACGAAAAACGATTTAATTTAGATGGGCCGGATGGATTTAAATATTATTGGCATGACAAACGATTTGAAAAAGAAATTTCCATGAGCCGAGCGTCATCAGGTGGGGGAATAATGGTGTGGGCTGGGTTTTGCTCTAATGGCACCACAGAAATTGCTTGGGTTCCAGCAAAACTGAACTCCTCCATCTACTGTGATTTGTTGGAAACCATGATGATAGAGAGAGCAGAAGAGTTAATTGGACTAGACTTCATTTTTCAGCAAGATAACGCCGCGATTCACTCTTCTAGGGAGACAAAGGAGTTTTTTAGGCAAAAAAAAATTACAGTTCTCGACTGGCCCGCTCGTAGTCCAGACCTTAACCCCATTGAAAATCTTTGGGGTGTCCTGTCAAGAGGTGTCTTTGCTAACGGGCGACAATTTAACACAGTTAAGGACCTGAAAGTCGCGATTAAAGAGGCCTGGGATGCAATACCAGCAGAGACTTTAAAGAACTTAGTCCTTTCTATGCCGAAAAGTTTAATTCAAGTTTTAAAACGCAATGGAAAGTGGACAAATTACTAAAAAAAAAATGTGAGTTAAAACGCTATTGATTTGTTTTGTTTTGCAATTGAGTTTATGTGAATTGCCAGCTAAGAAGCATTAAAATAAAAAAAAAATTTCTAAAACTTGAAAACGCTTGATTTTAATCTTAATATTTTTGCTCACCTAATAGTAAGTATTTGTAAGTATTATTAATTTTATCCATACTTCGTCCTAACTTAAAACGAAGTATACAATTTTTAGGAAAAACAATTGAGTTTATGGGAATTGCCACCAGTGTACATTCGTAAAATGTACTAAAAATCTGATGCCTCATATTGTCGTAGTTTGCACGAAAACGGGTTTGTACAATCAACGAAAACTTTCGTGGCTCAAAATGACGAAAAATTTCGTAAGATTTACGCAAGTTTTCGTTATATTTACGCAGATTTTATTTTCGGTGTAAGTATAACTTTAGAGGATGCTCATGATGCTCATATNAAGATTTTCGTACCGACTTCGAAATCAAAGAATCCATTCGAAATTTAAAACAAAAGCAGTGAAACATTTGAAAACTACCTGGAGCATATTTTATCAACAGCAGATAGCCTAAGGCATCCCTTATCAGATCGTGAGCTAGTGGAGATTATTTATTTATTTTTTATTTATTTATTTATACAAAAATAATACATAGTCTTTTATAGTGTTGTACATAAAAATTAAACACTACCTTAGTAACATGGATTACAATAACTTAAAAATTAAGAATATACCTAACAATAATAATAATGATGAGATCAGAGAGTAGGACGGGGGGGAAGGCAAAGGTAATAGAACATGTATTAAGACTTAGAAAGAAAGTATAGAGTAAACTGCCAATTTGAAGCGTTTTAAATTTTTCTCCAGTTTTAATTTGTGAGGTAAAGAATTCCACAACTGTACAGCCCTAACGAAAAACATTCTTGACGTGGCAGAGTACTTGAAGTATGGTACAATAAGGTTGCAAGTACGGCCTGACTGTGCAAATGTTAGCTTAGAAAAAAGATAACTCGGACATCGGGTGTGGATTAATTTAAACATAAATAATACATATCGACTATCAAAAAATGTGGACAGACTGCAATCAACAATTTTTATCGAAAACTCAGTAATGCGGTCAAACTTTTGCTTTGTATATATATATCTAGCAGCACTGTTAATAAATAACTGCAACTTCTTCATCGAGGCTCCGTCAGGGCAGCCATATATCAACTCTTGATAGGAGAGTACTGGCACTATTAGGGCTTTAACTAGCTTAAGCTTAATGTCTTGGGGAATATAAAAGGCAGTTTTCCATAGCTGCCTCAGTATAAAGTACATTTTACTGACTACTGAGTTAACATGATCGACACATGTGAAAGTTGTATTTAGTTTAAATCCAAGCATTTTAACCACTTTCTCATACTTAGCAACACTTCCATTTAAAACAACGGGAGAAAAATTATCCAAGTCATATGGAAAATAGGACAAGGCTATCGTCTGCGTTTTGGACACATTTAGGTTAAGCCTATTGAGCTTTGACCAGAGAGAAACTGATTCCAAGTCTTCATTCATTCTGAAGATTAAATCCTCTGCAAGGCCTATAGGTGCGGAAAGGTACATTTGCACATCGTCAGCGTAGAGATGAATAGATACATTCTTATAGCATCTTACAATGTATTGATGTATAATGTAAATAAAACCGGTCCAAGGATAGAACCTTGCGGTACACCACATGCTATTGGCAACAATCGGGAATGGTTATCCTTAGAGACAACCCTTTGTTGTCTATTTCTTAGATAACTTCCTATTAATTCCACTGCGTTACCACTTAATCCGAAATATGAACTAAGTTTTTGGAGGAGAATTTCGTGACAAACTGTATCAAATGCTTTTGAAAAATCTAAAAGCGTAAGTATTGTAAGGTCGCCCTTATCAAAGGATAGCCGTATGTCATCCATGACTTTGAGCATAGCAGTAGAACAGCTATGCCCACAACGGTATCCAGATTGGTACTGCGTTATGAGACCTTTATCATATGGATAATAAATATTAAGCTCATTTTGTCCTCACCTACCGCGTTTGGCTTAATTGAAAAAATTTCCCTCACTACTTCGATTTCAGTGGTATGTGAAAAATTAAACTTACTGCCGAAATTACGGATAAGATCTTCATTAAGTTTAAAAGCATAATCCTTGTCTGGCGGTTTTACCGAAAAGAAGTCATTCATTTCGTCCTCTTTGGGCCAGTTTTTCAGTGCACCACCGTGGTTTAAACTAAGTTTAAACGCCCGATCTGGCTGGTTTAAACTAAGATCAACCATTCAGCCAGCTGCTCAATTTAAACCACAATATAACCAGTAAACAACCTTGGGTGAATTTGTCGACTGCCTTCCTCGGGGATGAATATGCTAGGGATGAAATTAGTGGTACCCGCGCCTTCTAAGCACGCAGGGTTGCTTT